CCAGAGTCTTCCCTTCACACCTGTTCTGTATTAGTCGTGTGTGCTCCACCCTTGTTGTCAGCCAGTCCCCATTTCCTTCCTTTGCCCGTGTCTTCCTCCTCCAGCTGTGTCTCGTCCTTGTGATTAGTTTTCTGTGTATATATACCTGTGTGTTTCCCTTTGTCAGTTCATCTGTTGTTCATCCTGTGCTCATCCCTGTTCATCATGTTTTTCCCGGTTGGTTTTCAGTTTGGTTTTTGTTCTGCTTTCATTTGGGATTTGAGCTGCCTCCCTGTATCTGGATGTTTTCAGCTGCATTAAAGCTTGCCTTCTTTTAAAGACTCAAACAGCCTGTTGGTCTGCATTTGGGTCCTCCTCTGAACTGTAAAAGACACCTCTTATTTACGTTTATTTCCTTGTGCAACAGAAGCATGTGGTTAGGTTTAGAAAAAAAACCATCATGTTTGCAAACAGTGACCTCCCAGATAAAAGTCCAAGGTTTGTTTGACCCATCCATCACCTCTCCTGCACGCCCTATAGGGACTTTCCAGCTCCTTATATTATGTTGTTATGAGCAGTGTTTCAAACTGACGCCATCTGGCAGCATTCGAATCTAAGGCTGCTGTCAGCCCTAGAGTGGTCTCCTTTGGTCTGAATCAGGGACTCATGTTGTTCCAAAGTTGTATAATTGCCTAGAGTTGGTTCGTGTTCTCACGGCAGCATTTACAAGAGGACCAGATCAAATGCCTTGTGTGAGAAAGCTGCTCTTGATTGGTCAGAATCTCCATGTGGGAAAAATCCAGGAAGTAAAGCAAACGTTGAAGAAGAGTACACTTGCAAGATAAATGTGACAAACAATGTGTCATGTGACTGCAGTTGCTTCACATCCAGGTCGGAACACCTTCTCACCACAAACCAACCACACCAGAGTTCCTTTGGAACCGGACTGAGACCACCTCTTCAAGAAGGTCTCGGTCCAGTTGTTTTGGTGTGTTCACACCTGCACAAACGAACTGCACTGAGGGGGCAAACCAACTTGAGTTCGATTGAACCAAACCAAACAGGGCAGGTGTGACAGCAACCTTACACACCTTTCAGAGCAGTATGATATGCCAAAAGATGCCTTTTTGAATTGATGTCTGACGCCAGAATCACTGACAAAACTGTGGTATTTGACGAGTTGGGAATGAGAACGGGCTGGAGAGTGAAAGAGAGCGAATAAGCGTACTTCCCCAAATTTAAATTTGTCCTTTAATTCTATTTTTAAGCAGGAGAATATACAGGGAACTATTTTCTCTCCACTCTGACCAAACAAGGTTTAAGAAAGTTGTGTTTTCTCTCAGGTTGTTGAAGCGTTCTCGCTCCACTGTGGGCCCTTCAGCACCGCCCACTGAGATATTGTTTCAAGGTGAAATAGCTTAAACCAAGACGAAGGCTCAAAAAGCATCTACATGTTAAACAGTGATTAAAGTTGCATAGATTTCAGACTTTAAGGGAGAAAATATTCAAATGCGGCGCACTGTGATTGAAAGAACTTGTGATTGGAGTTGTTTGGCCCCCTCATCCAAACACTTTGTGCGCCGCCTCACCCTCCTCCTCCTCACACATTAACATGCTTCTATCATTAACCCCCACGCCCCACCTACTGCATAATAGCTGCAGCTGGATGCAGGAAGGAGAGAATAGGAATGTGTTTCCTTTCTCTTTTTTTTTTTCTAGAAGAGCATCTTGAATGAATGATTGATGTTAGGGGAGCGAGATCAGAAGGATATAATCAAGGTCTAACGAACGCAGAGCCTTAAGAAATATATACTGGAGGAATGCCATAAATTTATAAACACACCATATATTAATATGTAACTAGTGAATTGAATATTCAAAAAGAGGGAAATAACATAATCTTTGCCCCTCCGTGTACAGTGCACGCTTTATATTCAATCTTTCTACCAGGGTGGAGGGTAACAAAAGCTGGGGAGTTGAACCTCTCCTCCGCTCGTTCATCTTTACCTCACAAGTTATTTTCCCCATGAACTATATGAAACCAAGATTAAACACAGTCATGTTCGTTGTCAGTGGCTAAACAAATTGCCATTCTCTGTGAGTGACACGTGTTTTGTGTGAAGACGTGCGGCGCCGGCGTGGGGAGATAACTTCATTTCCCAGCTTTGAGCACAGATGAGGGAGAGACAGTTAGTCCGTGTTCAGTATATGAGCACCTTTCACGGGACAAATGGAATGTCAATCAAGCGCCGGTACACAGATGCCTTCTCCCCGGTGGGGCCGAGATGCTTTCTGGTGATGCAGCTCTGTTGTTCCAGCCTTACTCTGGGTGCACTGGGAATATTTTGTCCTTTTACCCCTCCACATCCCCTCACTCCATCTCAGATCCCCTGACTATTAACTGTTCCTTCTGCTCCCCAGGTTTGCCTCAGTGGGCCTCCCCTCCTCTCCACATTCATTTCTTTATGTTTCTTGCATGTAAAGTTTTTTTACCCAACTCTCCTTTTGTCTCTTAGTTCTTCTTTCTCTCTAAAACCTTTCACGGATTTCCCATTTTGATTCCCCTCTCTGTTTCCTCCAATAAACGAAGTGTACAAAAGTGATGAGGGTTGGGTTATTCTGATATTTAATTTTATTACAAATAGAGACTGTCCCCAACATTATTAACATCTTCTCTGGACTACAAAAAAATAATACTGCCAATCCAACACATTCTCACTCCGACTGTCAAATATCAATGTTTGGTCAGTGACTTTCCACGTCAAGACATGAAGTCACTGACCAAGCGCTGGTGTTCAGCGACTTCAGAGTGAGACCAGATTGGCTAGTCAAACACAACAGAACGTCAACAACCAACACACCCAGAGTACCTTGTACGTCATATCTTGATGTGGAAAGTCCATGATGAAATGTCGATACGTGGCGAGGTCGGAGTGAGAATGTGTTGTTCAGGGGGAACGGGAGTTGGCTATGGTTGTCGAGACGTCCTTGCTACCCACTTGGATACAGGCGGGCATGCTTTGGGCCCTGCTCTGGAGAAGGTCCATCTCTAATGCGGTTTGGAAAGACAAAGACAAATTGGCACACTATTGTTTGACTCAGCATGGCCAAAAGTGATAGTGGAAAAAGGGTAACATTACAGCATTGCTAGGACACCCAGGCGTAAGAAGCCACATTGGCAAATGACACCTGAGCAGAGTCCTGCACGGGTCCATTTTTGAAAACCCGCATCCATACCTGTTAAGCTCAGTACTAGAACCAACCTGTTACCTGTCATTATGTCCAAGTCAAAGCCGCACCCGTAATAAAAGTCCTGCGACCATGATCAAACCCCCCCAGGCTCCAGTCCCTCACATGAAGCTGGTTCTCCGTTCTTGAATTGGACGTCTCTTTGACTGGATGGTGAAAACATTCAATCACTGCCAGGTTAGGAAACATGTTAGCATGCTCCTTCCACCACCATCAAACCTCCAAAGGATCCCAACTCCATGTAGGCTGCCACCTCATCCTCGGGCTGCAAAGTGTCATGGCTGGAGTCCTCCACGTCGGTGACCAGCGGGTGAGAACAAAAATCTATTTTCTATTTTTCATACTACAGCAAAGTAAAAAGCTGTGCAGTATATGTGTAATATTCTAACATCTAAATCACTATTATCAAGCTGCAGTTACTTTTATTTTGAAAGCCAGTGACACCAGTGTAACCTTTGACCCCGTGGTCACATTGGTCACCGACGTGGAGGACTCCAGCCATGACACTGTGCAGCCCGAGGATGAGGTGGATTTGGAATTCAAGAACGGAGAACCCAGTTGCATGTAGTTCATTTTTACTCATGCCTGTTCCATGGCTTTTTGCGTGTTCCCCGTGGGTACCTGACCTGCTGCAAGACTCTGCACCTGTGTGTAAATATATCTGAACTAAATCAGGTGATGCTACAGCTCCATATGAGACCAGATGTCTGACTATTGGTCAAATCAATAGCATGATGCTTGCGTAGCATGACCCACTGAGACTTTGGAAAGGTTTCTACCAGACAGCTTCCAGAAAAGTCGTCTTTGCAGTGCAGCTGTTTAATCAAGTTAACCGTTGTTTGTAATTAAAAAAGTATAAATAATGTGGGATTGGATGAAGTTACAAAGCCCCTCCCATCTCTGACCTCCTCTCCCTAATCATCTTCAGGCCACCCCGAACTCCTGCTCTCCTTCTAACCCTATAATTTTTTACCTCTGTCACTTTTGCACTGAAATATTCAATTATTTTTAACACCATAAATTCCTCTATCATCACTCCCCATCCCTTTTACACTTGCCCTACTCTTCTTCCTCCCCTTCCTATAAAAAATGAATCCAGATCTTAGGGTGAGGAGAAATGAGAGAAATGTTTCCACTTCACCAGGACGGCTTAAGACTTTGTTATTAAAAACATGACAAGCCATTCAGTTGGTAAAGGTGCTTACTCAAGGGAATGCTCCGAGTGTTTATTCTTTGATTAATTTGCTTGGAGGAGACCTGAAATTTCCCCACTCATGAATATGTGGATGACAGGGAGATTTCTCCGTGGTGACAAGTTATCTAAACTACAGGGCAAAACGATTATGCTAATATCAGGTTGTAGTCATCAATCATCTCGTGTCAATGTGGTGTCAAGGCATCACGTTCCTGATCCCCCCTCTGGCCATAGCACCGAGTGTGTAGGAGTGTGTGTGTATGAGTGCATGCACGCAGCTGTGTGTGTGTGTGTTTATTTGGAAAGGAGAATTGATCACATTCTCATTACGCCTGGGGACTGTTGGTGGGGTTGCATGTGCGCTTGCGTGGAGCTGTTCTCCTGGATCAGAGCTGAAGGAAAACTGGGAGGGAATTAATTAGGTGAGTTTCTTCATCTTGATATGAACGCAGGGCTACACACACACACACACACACACACACACACACACACACAGAGTCCGGGCTGACGTCAGAGAGACGCGCCTTAAAACCAAAGAGCGCATCACAGGGAGATGCATGGTTTGATCACACACACACACACGCACACACACTCGCCTTGGATTGTAAAATAGCAGGGAAGCTGTAGGAGCTGCAGCAGCCTGGTGGATGAAGCAGAGAGGAAGCCAAGAAGTTACTTTTAGAGATTGTTAATCGCGGTGCGTAAAATGAAAGTGGTGCGTAAATGTCTGCGCGGTAGATGATATCCACATTTTAAAAAGTTGACCGGCAAACTAGCTGTAAACTAAAGTCACAGGCTGAAGTCCACCCTCGGCACGGATGCTGTTGGATGTCTGCGCTCCTGCCTCTGATCTTATTTGAGTCATGGCTTACTCTCAGCTGGGATACTCCTACTCCACCACTCCGCAGGTACTGTCAGTATTTTAACATGTCTTTTGTTTTTAAACTTATTGAAGATGACAGATTGTAGCTGTCAAAATATCCACAATAATCAGTGGCACGGCGGCATTTATCTGCGCATCTCTACTTTCCTTTCTAGAAATAATTAAAGCCACAATACGCAACGTTTTTCACTGATATAATAAATCATAGCGATAAAAGGAACACAAAATAAATCATGACGTGAAGAACTTGACTTTGACTGCAGACTTTTTTGCAGTCCAAACTACTTAATACGCCTTTTCACTGGTTTCCGGTTGAGTGAAAACACATTTCAGTAAGTTCCTCACGGATAATGTCACGGGACAAATCAATTTAATTTTACATTTTTCTCCTGCCAAAGTTTCTGATGACCTCCAGCTCTCTGGCCGGCTGTCTGGAGCCGGGAACGCCTCCGTCACACCCGGTGCTGCGCTCCCCGGCCCACCAGCTCACCTCTGCCACCGGCATCGGAGTCTACAGCGGAACTTATCCAAAGAGCCAAGGATACTATAACACCTGCACCAGCGACGCCACCGCTCTCTACTCCAGAGTGAGTTCTGTCTTTCACTTAAAGTTCATTATTACTGCCATTTTGCCTTTATTTTAGAATGCGTAATTGCGCACAGTCGCTCTTTTTGGCAGACACGTGAAAGGTTGTAAAAATGACTCTCAATTTTTTTTGGCGTATTCTCTACAATTATATGTGAATATTGTACTTATATGAGATTAAAATAATAAAAGTAAAGAGGGTAATTTCAGGGTAAAGCCCTTCTTTAATTTCAGAAAGCATGCGTGTGAAAATAAGCTGAAATATTTAATACACCGATATTTCCAGGGGCCACTTGATCCCAAAGACGGAGCTGCCTCTGTGGGGACATCTCAGACTCCTGCCTACTATCCCTATGAATATACATTTGGACAATATCCATATGACAGATATGGGTAAGTGAAAGCAGCATTGCTTTTATTGCTCTTAAATTAAACTGTAATATCTTCACTTCACTTTGGACTGCTGACTCCCTGATGAAAAATATTCCTAGTGTCTGTGGTTCATTTGCAGTGACCTCATATTCTTTTATGTGTTGGCATCACTGCAAGTATTACACTCTAACTATTATATCCATACTGGGACTTAGTATCTGGAAGTGGTGCAAGGTTATATGAGGGGTTTTTGGTACTTTATGGTGTGAGCTCTCTGCTAAGACTTCATTAATATATGATTTAAAGTCAATAATGCTCAGCCATTCTTTATAACAAATGTCTTCCAGTTATTTTCAGCACAGTATTGCTGAATATGATTTTGATTGTCACTGTTTGTCTCAGGTATTCCTGCTCTGACGGAGCTTCCCGTCGTAAAAATGCCACCCGAGAGACCACCAGCACCCTGAAGGCTTGGCTGCAGGAGCACCAGAAGAACCCATACCCCACAAAGGGAGAGAAGATAATGCTCGCCATCATCACCAGGATGACTCTTACACAGGTAGGTTTAGTAAAATATTACAGATTTAAGGGCACTAAGAGTTTTGACTTGTTTTCCTTCAGTCCATTTTGTATTAAATTATTTGTATTTTTTATTTTGTTCACTTATTTCACTTTTACTTTTGCTCTTTCTGTCTTTGTGTTCTCTTCATTCCTGTGTATGATTTTTTGTTCCTATCTGACCTCCATTCCCTCCCTCCCTCCCTCAGGTGTCTACATGGTTTGCCAATGCACGCAGGAGGCTGAAGAAGGAGAACAAGGTGACGTGGTCACCGCGGGCTTGTAAAAGCTCTGACGACCGGGGCTGTGACGATGACAGCGACGAAGCTGAGAAGCCGCTTAAAAATGAGAAAGACCTTCCTGGTAAGTGTGGCCTGAATCAGTCTGTCAGCACATTTCTCTTGTTTCCAGATTTGCTCAAAGTTTAAATAGCCTGCGTGGACTTGGTGTTATCTGTGTGATTCATTATTGCAGATCAACAGTGTGCAGACCTGCAGAGTGACCTTGAGGACTTCGACCTGCTGGAGTCAGACGGTTCTGACTGTGAACCCAAGCCACAGTTTCTACCTGAGGACAGTGACGCAAACTCAAACACAGACCGCCCACACGGGCATCTCACACACAACCCAGACGCACTGCACGGGAAAGAGAGATTGTCTCCAGACTGCCCCAAACTCACGCCAGTCCAACAACAAAACAGCCCCTTCTATTCCAACCCAGACCCTCGAAGTACACACACCAAGCCCAAAATCTGGTCCATCGCTCACACTGCTGTGTCTCTGGACGGCAGCTTGCAGTCAGAGTACCCTCCCTGCATGCTGTCATCAGCCGGGTCCTCCTCTCCTGGGTATCCATCAAATATGGCGTTAACCAAGGCAGACAGGGAACAGGAGTCACCGGTCGCCACACTCAGAGAATGGGTGGACGGAGTTTTCCACGGTCCTCCTTTCCAACAGCCCAAACCAGCTGAGGCGTGGAAAGGCTTAAATGATGGCATGATAGACAGCAGAACACCCGGACAGTCCTTTGAACTTGTTAGGTCGACGTCGTCTTTGTAGTCCACCCAACGCACCGTCAACGGAATATTTCAAAGACTGATGGACTTGAAACAGAAAGTCTATATTTTGTTGTTGTGACTTGACCAATTGACCGTTCACTAAACGCCATTCCCCTCAGTTACTGTTACGTCTGTCAAACTTTTTGTTCTCACATATATGGATTTACAATAATAACAGTGCCATTAAAATTTTTTAGTAATTGTTGAAACAATGGGTCCCACCAACCAACATATTCTCATCCCAACTTGTAAAATATTGCTACTCTATCAGTTGACTTTTGTGTCAAAATATGATGCGCTGCGTGCCCTCCTGTGACAGTTTTGGACGTTCAGGGACGGCATGCATTGTGTCTTTTCAAAATACGCATACATATTCACAGGAAATGTACAGTTTCTGCTTGTTAGATGCAAACAGTCTTTTTAAAATACATTTTACAACTAGGCTTGCAGCGTTTTAAAGTATACCGGGATATAAAAGTTGAGGCTTATCGTAAAAGCAACTGGACGTTGAATCTCCCCTTTATTTTAGTTATTTTCAAAGAGGAGACTTTTTACACAAACTAACATTAACAAAATGGTTTCAAGGTTCAATTATAGTAATTAAACGTTTGTTCGACCAAAAATAACCCTTAAGTTTTATTCCTTAAAGGATCATTCTGACTGATAATAACTCTAATAAATTCTGTCACACCGTGACACTGCGAGATTTTCTAAAACCAGACAATTATAATACAGTGAAAATCTCATACTGTTGCAACCCTGTTTACAGCGTAGGTTGTTTTTACTTTTTTTTTTTTTCCTTGTGCAACAAAAGTACGTGGATAGGTTTGGAAAAAAAACATCATGGTTTGGGTGAACATTTATAGCCGGCTCCCGGGTGAAAGTCCAGGGATTGTTCGACCCATCTCACCTTCCACCCACACCATAGGGACTTTCAAGCTCTTCATATTGCGTTGTTGCCGGCGTCGTTACAAACTGATGCTGCCTGGTGGCGCATCATAGCGACACAAAAGATGCCTTTCTGCATCTGCGTCTGATGCGTAATCACTGACAGAGCGGATGTATTTGACAAGTTGGGAATGAGAACGGGCCGTCCAGACAGAGGAGACAAACCAGATTTCTCATTTCTAGCCAAGAACCAGATTTGATTTGATCTGATTTTGCCGTCTGAAATGTAAAGTGCTGGTGGCAGATTTCATTAGCTTCAGCTAGCTTGCTAATTAAGCTAATGTTAGCTCCATGTGTCTGGCTGACTTTTCAAGGTCTTAAATAAGCACTTGATATTGAGGACTAACCACTGTATCTAGAACGTGTAATGTAATGTAATGCTATCCCAGGTAACGGTGGCTCAGGTTACTGGAGTGTAGACCTACACAAACCCATTAAAGAGCTACTAACGTTAGCTAAAACTCTAATTAGCATCAATCCCTGACTTTTGCACAATGAGAAAATGCAACAGAGGGTGTGCTCCTTGTGTAATGCGACATTGATGTTGTAATCAGATGATGCGTCCCTAAGCTTTTGAAGCAATGCTTGGTTACTGCAGGTAGGAAGCTAGTTAGCCGAGAATTCTGATGACTGCAGCTAACGTTAAAGAGGACAAACATTGTTTCGTCTAGTCTTTTCTAACTTTTACTTGTGTTTTAGGTTTTGCAAAAGTTTGGAAAAAGACACCCCAAATCTTTCAATGCAGGGTATCACTCCCATATGTTAGGGGTCAGAATCACCAGAGGATCCATAATAGGATATTATCATAATAATTTTAAGACACGATATGATGTTATTACGATAAAATATATTGCGATTTATTTCCTTTTTTCAAATGTAAATTATGTCCCCAAAGGAAAACTTTGTCAAAATCTGTTTTATTTAATGAGACAAAGTTTTTAGCTATTTCTTTGCAGCAAAATGTATCTGGTGAACTGAAAAAGCAATTGGTTATATTTCATTTGTCTTGTCTTTGTCTTGGCACTGTGTGGCGATACGATAGTGCCACACAAAAATATCACAATACTATACTGTACCCCTAACATATGGTCCCATAAACATGCAGAGAAATCCAAAGTTTGACAGACTTGTGTTCCCGTTTCGGCTGCTACACTACAATTGGACGATTGCTGTTGAAGGTATGGGTTTAGTGAACGGTCAGTTATCAATGTATGATCCTATTTTGGCATTTTGACACACTCTAACTTACAGACTCTTATGGGCTCCATTAATGGTCAAATATCTTCAAACAAACCAGTGTCACACACACACGTTCCTGCGGTAAGGTTGTACGGTTCTCTCACATGGAAAATATACAGTATTGTACACTTGCACTATCGCCTGCACATGCACTGAGTCACAAAAATAAAAGGTGTATTCTGTAGCATGGCAAAGTTCTCTGAGTGTGCCCTTACATCAACTGTCCACCGTGCTGGAACCAGCCGTGGTATCAGTTCAGATGATGTAAATCCTGTCCGGGAATAGTGGAATATACCTCGGCAGCTTTGCATATGTGTGTGTGTGTGTGTGTGTGTGTGTGTGTTTGTGTGCATGTGTGTGTGTTTTGAGGGAGTGAAAGGGGGGAAGTGGGTGGTATTCAGCCGTGACTAATGGAAACACACAGAGGAGGGTGCTGCTAAATTGTTAAATCGATGCCACTTCCACCTCGGCTCCAGATATAGCTGCAATCAGTGATGCGTCCCTTTTCATTAGGCGGCTTTTGACTTTGTCAACCTGGGACTGCAAGAAAATCCACCACGCGCAAAATGCTTCATAAAACCTCTTAAGTAATTTTAAGTAAGTGTCACATCTTTATCCACTTTGGTGATTTTTTCATACAGCCCATAATAAGAAACATCACTGAAATAAGGCCGGCATCATTAGGCCGAAATGTTTTATAAAAAATACATTTCCATCAACTTCAATTATTGAAGAAAACTTTGCAAATTTAGCACCTAAGACATTTCAACCAACACTTTCTAAAACAAAGCCCAACAAGAAACAGTGAGAAGTTGTTTTTTTTCTTCACCCCCATCTTCCTCCTCCTCCTGTTTTCGATTTAGGCACAGTGATAAAGTATTTATCAGAACAGAGGAGGGATCTTCCTGGGCTTTGTATGGAATTAACCATTTCAGATTAAATAATTCAGCATGAATTCAACCGAGAATTTCATTCTGTTTCTGCCTCATAAATAAGTAACATTTAGGATGATAAATAATGACATCTGACTTCTTATTTCGGTAAAGTTTTCTTTCTTCCACTCGCTGTCCGACAGGATCTCGTTGTGGTTGGCTGCAAATATATTTTTTATGTTTTAACTCATTTTTTTTTCTTTTTTTCTGTCCAAGTTTCACGTGTTAGAAAATATGCAATAGTGTTTGCTTCTAAAAAAGTCTTGACTTCAAAGGAGAAGGTGTCGGCGTCATGAAGGAAGTAGAGTGGCAGTCAGATAAGAGGTCAGTCTGGTGCTGAGAGGGGTTAAGAGATATAAGGTTGTACTTGTTTTCACCTTCAGCTGTTTGAGACAGGACTCGTCTCCTGGGCACAGAGCTTTGGAAATACTGCAGAAGTACATTTATATATACACTGCAATTTACTGCTGAGCATTAAATCTTACTTAAATTTTATTCTGAACGTCAAAAAAGGGCCATGTTCTCTTGTTTTTAATATCTAATACGACTTTTTTGAATCCCTCGTCTAGGTGTTCAAAATAATGGCCTTTTTTTGTCGAGAGAATCCCTCAGATCTGAAAGTGTTTTGTACAACTGTGTAAGTGTTTCAGTCAGTTTTCATTTAATTCATAATCAACTAAAATGATTTGTTTGGATTTACATTTCAAAATCAGAGCGAGCTCAACAATAAACATTCAATAGGAAATGTTTGGCCTCTCTGGAGCCGTGTTTCAGGCTACCTGGCAAATGTAAGTCCAATATTCTTTCTACTTTTGCTTCTGTTTGTATTTTTTCTGTCGTGTTCTTTAACGGCTAACTGCTCCTCGGTGTTCACCAGCTCGTCGCTTACTTGTGTAAAGTTTAAAAATAGCAGTTCAGTCACCAGGAGAAAGTGCGGGCTTTGTACGATTCTCCAAACCACACATACATTTGTACATTTCATAGAAATCATATCACTGTTTGTAAAGTAGAGTAGTATATGAGCTTACTCTCAGCACAAGGCGGAGGACATGGTGGATGGCGTGTCACTTAGACGTGACGCCTGCCTAACTGCAGACCATTGTTTAAGACCAAGACACAACAAAAGCAAATGTGCTTTAGCGAGTCATTCCTGCATTTCCAGCGACATTTTAGGCACCAAACGCAGGATTTTGCAGGTGTTTTCGGTGTCGTTTCAACCCGTTGCCTATTCCAGAGGGTATGATGTGACGGAAAGTGTTTTTTTTTTACTGAGACACAGCTGTGTTTTATGCTGTGATACCGGGACAAAAAAAAAAGTTTTTTAACAGAGACATCACTGCTTTTCCAGCAGCTATTGTGCCATAAAAGACATTGCTGCATTTCCTGCCAGAATAGTGGCACGAAATGCAGTTGTTGTTTTTTTTACATTTTACATTTCTGCTTTTCCAGCGGGGATTGTTGCCATAAAATGCTGTTCTTTTTTACCAAGAATATGCTGCTTTTCCAGGGGGCAATATAACACAAAAGTGGCAGTGGCTACAGAGACACTGCTGCATCTCCTGCTGGGATAGTGGCATGAACCGCTGTTGTTGTTTTATTTTGTTTTTCTTACCAACAATTTGCTGTTTTTCCAGCTGGAATTGTGCCATCAAGAGCAGTTGTATTTTACAGAGACATCACTGCTTTTCTAGAGGATACTGTGCCACAAAAAGTGGATGTTTTTTACCAACACATCGCTGCTTTTCCTGCAGGAAATGCGCAACGAAAAGTGTTTTCTTTTTTTTTTTTTTTTTACTGTGACATCGCTGCTTTTCTAGCAGGGATAGTGCCCCCGAAACTGAGTATTTTAAGCCAAAACATGATCTTCTCCTCACCATAGCCAGTTGGTTTTTGTGTCTAAACCTAACCACACATAAACATTTATTTTGGTAATTAGGTATAAGAATGCTGGTGTGAACTTCAAAATTAATAAAGATGTTTTAAAAAGTACAATTATGATGCAAAACACCATCAAAACTGGGAATATGTCAGATTTTTACATTTTTACTTTTGAGCTTTATCCTCCATCATCTCTCTCACCTCCCTGTTTCACACTCATCTTCCTCCACTGACCTCTCACACTTTCCCCCTCTACTCCTCCAGCCTTCACCCATCTTCTCCTCTTCCTCTTTCCCTTCCCTTACCCCACATCTAACTCTCATCCCCCATTCTTCAACCCCCCCTCCACCTCCTCTCCCTCCCTCCTTCCCTCCACTCGTCTCACCTCACCTCTGTCTGCTCTCGACACACAAGCGAGCCACTCAACAGCCAGTCTGACACGAAGGCCTGCTCCCTGGGCCATATAATGTGATTAAGCCTCAGTGTGTTGCTGTACAGGTCGGGGAATGTTAGAGCCACTGTTTACTTGTCTGGCTCACACCACCAGCAGTTATTTGGCTCTTTGTGTCTTATGGGAGAACTGACACGGGGGCGAGAGGAAAACTTTTTTTATTCCACTCAGAAAACCAATGTTTCAGTTGAATTAATTGTTGGCTCCATTCACTCTGCGCTCTGCGGCCCTTTCTCCGAATCACCTCGACTTTTATAATTTCAGATGGAATGTCTGCACAGGAAGTATTGACAACTTCAAATTACTCCTCT